TGTATTTGGCGCAATGCGTGAAGTATTCATGCAGTCTTGTAGGCGCTAGTATGCGTTGAGCGAGCGCCGACCGGCAGCACCGCACTGCGTTTGGCGCAATGCGTGAATCAGAGATGGTTTCAACGTACGTACTCATAATAATTGTCAGTTTTCATTGGAAGAGTTGCCTAAAACCAGCATAAATATTTCGGAGGAGACACTAAAGTCCAAATTACTTAAACAAAGTATTCGACGAACGCATCTTGATAACATTGCCTGGATTAAATCCATTTTGTTTTCTTTTTTTCTATTTTTTCTAATGAGGAGAGAATTTTTCCCGAGAAGCTGATTTGCAAAAAAGTGCAACAAAGACGGATATGAGCGACTAAAAATCGTGCGCATGGCAGCGTCAATACCTAATCAAAGAGGAAACCCTACTGAAAAATGTCATCGGACCCTCGTAAAATAATAGGCACCGTTCTATTGGAAATTTTATGCTCTTCCATTTCAGTGAGAACAATTTTTTTCCGCGACTCGCCGTTAACAACTAAACCTGAAGCAGGACGATACATTTAAACGCGTTCTCAACTTAAATTCCGACCAATACAAAATTACTCTCTGTCAATCCATAAGTTTCTCACATTCCCGCATAATACGATTCTTGTTCGAGTAGCATTTTTCAACGGAAAAATCGCGATATTTCGAAATAAAGTAGCTATGTTTTTTTTTACGATTTTTTGGCGATTAAATCGCTAGGATCATCAATACCTGAGCGATTATCCACGATCTTGTCGAAGTTTTATCTCTGTAAAATTGAAGCTTTTTCTCAATTTATCAATAAAATAGCGATTTTATCGCAAGGGATGAAATCGCAATTTATCTTAATTTCGTATCCGATAATACTACATTAAATCGACGCGACGTCGATAAAATCCAGGTACACTATCCGATCGAATCGCAACTTATCGCGATCACTGCGCCTCGGGATTTTCAGCCCTGCATAGACGATCCAATTCCGATCAAAGTAGACATGCTCATGACTGGTGGTCACCATCTACCATCAAATTTTGACGGGCCGCACTTTTTTGTTCAAAGTAAGATCAGAACGGAGTGCCACCATTCATCATTTCCTGCCACAGGAAACATTTCTGCCAAGTTTTCATTTTAAAATGAAGCAAATTAATGAGTTTAAGACTGATGACTCCCGCCACTTTGATGCTACTTTGATCGGAATTGGTTCGGGAATTTGATCGTCTATCGAGGCCTTTCGACAGGCGCCACGGACACAGTATATTTCTCGGAGAGCCAGTACACCGTCTGGATAAGAGCATCAAGCCCCGCCGTCGGATTCCGATTAACACGAGTGCGAGTAATACCCAAGTGGCTTCCGAAACCAGTCCCGATATTCATGGAAGCCACGGTGGATTGTCTTACTCGCGGGCCCAGAAACGACCTTCTCCTTTCGACTCGGCGGCAGAATCTAGGCCGGCCCCACGCTCGTCTTGAACTTTTTTCTATCTTTCCGTGGCCCAAGCGGATCTCGATTCCCATCGCGCGGATGCCCCGGAGAAAGTAAAAGCGCCTGAAAACCGATTCTGACCCCGAGCCCACTCCTCCGAGCAGAAATACCATTCCTTTTTTATTACTCTTGCATCGAGGAAATAAAATAACGGAGAAGAAAATCAGGTATCGAGTGCTTTGTCCCGGGATCCGGTTTTGACATTCGGACAGCATCCATCAGAATGTTTTATTTCTCTTACGTCAAGAATAACGAAAATAACATAGTTGAAAAAAGGAGGATGGGACTGTTATCGAGGCACGTTTGATACACACTGAAAGAAAAATCTCGGTGTATTTACTAAGAAAATGGTAAAATTACCAAGAATTCAGGGTTCTATTTGATCCCAGTTTTTTCTTGGTAAAATTACCATTTATAAAATTGGTAATTTTACCGAGAAGTCTCGGTAAAATTATTGAACTTCCTCGGTAATTTTACCGGACCTTGGTAAAAACGCCAATATTTTTTATCGACTGTGGTAGAATTCCCGAGATAAAATGGCAAAGTTACCGGGAATTGATTACCAATAAAAGTGGTATTCTTACCTGAAAAAAACAGTACAAATAACGTTTTTTAGGTAAGCTTACCAGTCTGTCTTGGTAAAATTACCAATAATTGGTAAAACAAGTGAGATGGCAAAGGTAGCAACGGACCTTGGTCAAAACGCCGAGAATTTTTTTTCAGTGCAGGGTTATTCAAAAGTTACGCACCACTGGCCATGAGGGGGGTTGCCGTTTGAAATTTTTGAGTTGCCCCCCTCCCCCAGAGGGTATCAAAAACTGGAAAGTACCTACAGAAGTTTCCCCCTCGATATGAGGAAAAACATCATAAATCGTAAATCAATATAATGACTAGAACTAAAGTTATGGCCAGTGGTGCGTGACTTGTGAATAGCTGTGTATGTTAGGTATGCTCATATTCTGAAGAGAGAAGCACTATATAGTCAGTGATTACGGCACTCCAGGTGTCGATTTCGATTTGCGCCTTGAGGAGAGGGATGTTGTTGTTGGTTGCCCGTGTAATTTTAAGTTTTTTACGTACTGAAAACATTTTTCATTTGCCCATGTATGTATGAATTTCAAATTTCAGTCAGTTTTACATCGAGATGTTTCTACCTGAAAGACGTAGGTATCAATCGAATAGTTTTTTGGAGCAAGGGCGTTTAAGACTTGCAATGCTGGTAAGATTGTGCGACTTTGTGTACAATTCGCAGCGAACTAAGTTACATATGCATATAATTATTTTCATAGAAAAATAAATCAAAATTATATGATTTTTTTCAGAAAAAAATCCTAGCAAGGCTTTCGATTTTTTCAACTGGAAACGACGCACTAAGTTGCACAATCTTAGTAGCATTGCAAGTCTTATTTGCCCTTGTTCGAAAGAACTCCTTAATTATTACTTGGTTTGTCGCACACCCCTGGCAAATTGTTTTCATTGTTTGACTGAAAGTTTCAGTTATATCTATTATGTATCACACTAGTATAATTTCAGGTGTATTGTTGCCCAGGTAGCAATAGTAACAGTTCAAAATTGCAATTTCACAACAGTTTTTACACTGTTACTTTTGTGCACTTTTTCATCGAAAAATTTGCTCTAGTACAACAGTTGAAAAACCAACGGAAAAGAGAAGTCCTTTGCGACTATAATCACTGAAAAATTTTTCTTACATACTTAAAAAATACCAGTGGAAAATTTATAATTTAGTCATGTTTTCTGAAAATATAACACAAATTTAACTAGTGTTATACACCGATCGAAAAGGAAACTATTATTGCAATAAAAACATACTTAGATTTGAAATAAAACGACGGTTTAAAATTCTCAATCAAAATCACTTACTTAACAAAACTTTTTTAAAGAAAGGAAAGTAGATTAACATTTTAATAACTAAAAAAAGTTAAAAAAATTATTCTAATTTATTTTTTTTTAAAGTTGATTTCATAAAACACAGAAGTAGACCATTTTGTTTTAAAAAAGCTATTTTACAAAACATAAAGAATTATACTGTACTAATGAGAAAAATTTAATCTAAATCAATAAAAAGATAAAAAAAAGACAATAAAAAACAAATTTAAATATCTCATTTGTTGCCATATTTTTGCAAAACACATTCTTATAAATAACCATGAAATATTAATTATTATTACATTATTTATTAAACAATATTGGTGAGAAACTATTTTTAAATCATTGTTTCCTGAAAACCGGTGTAGCTTTAATTTTTGTCGAAAAAGAATCCTTATAAAAAACTTTGATAACTATTTATCACTAACAAGGAAAATATAATTTAAATCGATAAAAAGATACAAGTGATAGTGATAAAATGACAGTTTAAATATCTGATTTATTGCAGTTTTTCTGCAAAACATTTTATTTTAAACAGTTGTGAAATATAAATTAGTATTACATTATTTTTTTAAATACCGATTTTAATTTCCGATTGTTTTATTGTAATCGGGGTGTTTCCTTTTATTTCCGATAGAGAGCTCCGATTTATTTTGTTTTTGGATGGGTCGTTTATGGTGCCTGTCTAACCTTTGTGTGTAGTGAAAACATAAAATATATTATTTATATTCTACGACATACGTTTTTTTATCGACGGCTTCTATGTTTGCTTTGTTCGGTGCATATGAGTGGATTTTCTTCTCACATTTTTGATGACCCCCCTGTGGTTAACTGTGCCTAGACAGGGCATGGGCCTATCTATAGCGTTGATTGTAGTGTGGTGTGTCGAGTGTAGTCACATCCCTGCTGCATAGTCTTTGTTGCTCCTCCTTAGAGGAAGTATCGGTGCTCACCGTCATCGGTGTTCAAAATAGAAATATGAGGCCTGAAACTGGGGAGTTCTATAATTGATCTTTTAAAACCAAAAAATAACAGTTTAACAAAATATTAAAAACGAATAAAATTTCATATATTGACACTGTTAATTTTCAATAAAACTACAATTTTACGAGTCATTCTATTATTAGAAATTAGTTTTTCTATGGATATTTTAAGTTTTTTTTAATACTTTACAAGAATAATTCAAAACTCGTATTCAACATTTAAATTTTTTATTTTTATTTTAAGACAAGTGTCGCTTTACACCAGTAAATTTTCCAAATGAAATTTGTTTTTCACTACTTTAATCATTGTTGATTTATGTCATTAAATTATTTTAAACTGTTATTTTTAACTTCATAAAATAGGAATATAGCGCCTGAAACTGTTGTAACTGGGGAGTACTTTAATCGATCTTTTCAACCGATATAAATTGTATTTTTATAATATATTAATAGGAATTAAAACTCTCATTTAATAGCAATAAAACTGTTATTTCGAAGATATAATAAAAATTATTTTATAGCAGACCTTGCTACCTGGGTGGTGCTCATACCGAATCTTCACTTGTGAAGCATATAATTGTGTTGCAATAAACCAATAAAAAAATTCTAACGCTTAGGTTATTTGTTTTTAGGTAGCAGCAGTTTATTTTGGAACACGATGGATATCAGATATTGGCGGTGCATAATCAAGAAAGGAAGCCATTGTCCAGATGATGATATCAGAATATATCTTTATTCCAGGTGAGATCTGAAGTCTTCAATTGTTTTACAATGTTTCCCTGTTACTACATAATAATCTTATTAAAATACATAATAATCACGTATTATCTATTTTTGAAAGGAGGCAGTAATCACGATCGAATGCCATTGATAGCAACGTCGAAAACCAATGTGAGTGGTTTTCTAGTCGTACCATTTATGCGTTACCAAAATTTAACGAACCAAGTGAGGCTGCGCGAAACCCGAAACTCGGTTGTGAAAGTGAAGTTGCGTATTTCAAATCCGAAGGGGCTTTTATCGAGTGAGAATTGACTGTTCATATACGGAATCTTCTGCGTGGGTGTATATCTGCGCGTCAAGTTTCCTTGTAAAATACTGTCCTATTAAAATGTTTTTCTCTCTCTCTCTCTCTCTTTTTTGTAAGAATGATAAACTCATATTTCGATGTTGCGGTCTTCGCTCATGTTTTATTAATTTAATAGAAGACTAATTGATAACCTACAGTTATGCTTGAAATTATCTGTGAATTCACTCGTCGAAGAATATTCACGGAAAATTTCAAGGAGATAAGTAGTCGGTTTCAAGGAGATAAGGGATGGTTGGTTCTAAAAACCTGAAGTACAACGGAAAAGTTTTAAACGTTGGAATAGAGATGCTCATTTTTCGACTTCAGCCGTTGGTTTGTTTCTTCTTGCCTGAGTGACGCATTGCTATAGCGAATTGCAATAGCGCACCTCCGGACAAGAGAGGAAGAAATATGACAAATTTTACGGAAAGAATAAGCTCCTTCATTTTTTGAGACGCAATGCAGGAAACCACTGAGCACACACAGTTGTATAAAGCGTTTTGCTTTCTTATCCCCTCGTTAAAGTCTCCGGGCTTTTTACGGCCACACTGACCGATGCATTCGTGACAATAAAATTCAAAAGAAAGCTAATTTGCCGAAGATGAATTTTTATGCCAACTAATTGTTAAACATGCGTTTTCAATCACAATCGGCTCACTCTGCGACTGTTAAATTGTTGCCTTACCTAGCAGCGAATTTCTATATTCCCTTAGATGTTTGTTATTTACGTTGCCTTTTTCGATTTTTCATTTGCAGTGAAATCAGGGTAAAGAGACGGATAGACGTGAACCATCCATTCTCGCTGCACATGAACGGCTGGGATCCGGAGAAAAGAAACGTCATCATAATTCACGGGTTCAACGGGACCGAAGGCAAAACGCCCATGACCTTCATTAGAGACGGTAAGCATTCACAATTTCGCCCTGATAATGGAAGTCTTCGAACAGAGGTGGTCCATTTACACGGGGCCTTTTTTTAAAAAAGAAAAACGCGTTTCTATGAAAGTAACGTAATTGGCCTCATGACATTTTTCATTATCCCCTTTCTAGGCCTATTCCTTTTGCTCAAGATCGTCTGCATCCGCTTTTTGTGAAATTTGTTTGTAAAATAACAATTGCTGAATTTAAAAAGAAAAAAAAAGTGAAGCTTAAAAATTGTCAGAAAAAGCCGAAGATCTGGCTGTCTGTAGATGTGGTTATGCACTTTTTAAGACGTAATTTCGAGAATGAGCTGTTCAAAATTCTAATCCGCCTTGTTTTGCGGACCAAAGAATGATGGCAACAAAGTTATAGACGTTATTAGAATTTTTCAACAATCAACATCTGAGCTCTGAACAAACTTGAGCATTGGTTTTGCTTACAACTTCACTAATTTAAAGGGTCATTCATACTTCTTTCATAAATACAGTGCCCTGTAGACCGCGTTAGTTTACATTGGTCCTTAAAGTGAATCGGCAGTGAAAATAAGCAAAAGTTGAGATACCGAACAAATTCTGCCAAACTGTACTGGTTTCCATTTAAATTCGGCAGTAAATGGACCCTTGACGCGTAAAAGCACATTTCAGCTGTTAAATCCCTGGAAATCTCTCTTGTACAACCTGAATCAAAGCAAGCGGAAAACATGCAAACGCGAAAATTAACAATTCGATTGATCAGTCGAACGCAATATTCCGAGTTCGTACGCATTCATTTTTATCTGAAGGTTCACTGAGTGGATTTTTTTTTTTGGGGGGGGGGGCGGAGGACGGTTACACTGTACCTTCAGATATTTTGAGTTCATTCTTCTCCTAGATTTTGATAGAAACTAGTACTTCAGCAAACCGTGTTCGGTTTTATTGTTTGTTTGTCTGCTTCCAGCGGTATATTCCTAGGATTTCACGAGCTAAGCCCTGAGCAGTGGGCTGATTATTGAAATTGATAGACAAAGAAGATCGAGGGAAAATTGAGAAATCTTATCGGTTGATACGGGCGATTATCCATAACCGAGGGAGAAAATAATGGATTCACTACGTAGGGTCTCTCGTGGCAGGATGCCGTCAGTTAGTCCATTATTTACCTCCATTGTTCATTGCAACCACCCAATTTTATCAATAGGATTGCTCTATTTTCCGTTTTTCTTCTGTGTCTATTGCTTTTTCCAAAAATTTTAATGATGAAGTATCGAAAGAGTAGCATAGACATTAGACATAGCAATACTCTCTCTATTTATACCGATTTTTACTTTAAACGGCTCCGCCTGAGAACTTGTGTATTCTTCTCTGATTTCAGCTTATTTAAACCGGGGCGACTACAATGTGTTCACAGTAGACTGGAAACCTCTGTCCAAGTTTCCGTGCTACCTATCGTCGCTGAGTAACACTAGGCTGGTGGCTCAGTGCACGGCGCAGTTCTACTCGCACTTAACTCACTCAGGAGCCTCCGCATACGACACCCATTGTGTCGGCCATAGTTTAGGTGCTCATATTTGTGGAATGATGAGCAATCATTTAACTCACCGATTACACAAAATTATAGGTTCGTAACTTTGCAGAATCACCCATTTATCCGATTCCTAGACGTTTTGATTTTGTCTAGCAATAACCCGGAATGGAGAATTTGTGGGTGTGTAGAAGTTGATAAATTTCTCTCGTAAATGGAAATCACTGGTAATAAGTGAACAAAGGACGAGATGATCCTTGACTGCTGAATTGAATAATTATCGGAGAAAGTTCCGGCAGAATTATGAAATCTGCTGTATTCGTGTGCCTTTATGAAAAATGCCGCCCTACATGACACCTAGTGAGAAAATGTTTCTCCATTTTCAATTTATATCTCTTCTGCTTCTCGTCTCAGAAAAGACTTTAAAGAATACCTCTGAACTCAGGTCACCAAGTAAGTACTTTTTTATGAAACTGTATTTTTTTTGTGTGAATTCTCCATTCTTGGTTTGTTAATGCATTACTCGGATCCAAAAAATTTTAAATATGACTTTCGCAGAGTAGCCGATCAGATATGGTTTAGTTTAGAATTGACGAAAGTTTATAAACCGAATCATTTTTTTAGTTTTGTCACACCCTGAACAACTCAAAAATCGTACATCATTCGTCGTGCATCTTGATTCATTATGTGCGCGGTATAGCTTCAGTAGATTTTAGATTTCCGATGAATTAGGAGACATGAAAACTTTGATACCTTGCGTAGGGGTCTCGTGTGATTTTTCCATTGTGCAAATCGTTTCCAGGACTCAACTTCGAGATATCATGTAGAATTATTGCTCTACATGAAAGTAGTTATTTTTTTTAACCATAAAAGTAAATGCGAACAATCTTGAAGGATTCAAACTGTTACTCAAGTTTTTAGTAGTCTCTACCCAAAACAGAAAGGTAATCCGACGTTTGTATCTGTATCTTTCTTGTTGTTCAAGTGTGAAAACTCCTTCAATTAGGATGGATAGGCAATTATCAATACTCAGCCGTTGTTAGGAACGTTTTGAAGGCGTTTTTTAAATTCAAGTAGAGGAAAGTTACTGTCATATCTCCTACTATAAAGCACCGGACACGTTTGACCATGGGAGCTAAACTTCAGAGAGATGCCGGAAGTTCTCAGATCTCTTTATTTTGCCAACTTTGTAAATCCGTCCGCGTATTTGGCGCTAATTGTATTGTGAGGTCGGCCCTAGTGCTTGGGATTTGGCCAGGGTTTCTCTATGCTATGCAACAACAGGTTTGCCAGAGTCAGGGAAAACCAGGAAATGTCATTAAATTTTTAAAAGTCAGGGGAAAACTTAGAAACTTCAGGGAAATGGCGAAAGTGTGAGGGAAAAATTTTAAATTCACCTTCATTATCTTTTTAGATTGGATTTGACGTTTGAACAGCAAATTTTGCCCGGAAACTTTTTCAAATTATGTCTTTCTTGCCGTATTGCATGTTTCATTTGTCCGGGAATGTTACTCAAATGTCTCAGCACGTAGAAAAAAACTTCGTGCGTGGGACCCGAAGTTGAGGTCATATGGATCTCTGAAGTTTTCGGAGCACGTATCTAAAACCTTGAGGTCGAGCTGCCGAAGTTCGGGTCAGACATCTGAAGTACTCCGGTACATACCGAAGTGCCTCGATGTCTGACCCGAACTTCAGCAGCTCGACCTCAAGTTTTCGGATGCGTGATCAGAAAACTGCAGAGATCCGTATGACCTCAACCTCGGGTCCCATGCAGGAATTTTTTTTTCTACGTGAGGGAAATGTCCGGGAATATAATTTTCTCAATTTTGTGGCAACCCTGACCAAGTATTTCGTTTGAATTTGTTGTTTTTTTGGTGTTTCAGGTTTAGATCCAGCGCGGCCGTTGGTGGATCGGTACGGATCTCGGGCGTTCCGTCTGACTCGGGACGACGCCAACATCGTGCAGGTGATCCACTCGAACGCTGGGTTCCTCGGCGAGACGGCCCAGGTCGGGCACGTGGACTTCTGCGTCAACGGCGGCCGCATGCAGCCCAACTGCCGCAACGAGCCCCGGCGAATACGTAAGAAAGAGTTTCAAACCACCAGAACAAGTACTTACATTTTCCAATGACAACCGTTAAGCATGAGTGCAGATGGCAGACACCCACTTCTCCTCCTTTTCATCGTTTCGTTTCGTTTCGTTTCGTTTCATCGTTGCTCCGTGTCTCAACACGCAGTGCCTTCTTCTCGACTGTCTTCGCCGAGTGAGGGAACGCCTCCAGGGTAGAAAACCTTCATTAAGAGAGCGTGCACACACGGGGATCTATTCCTAATTGGTTGAGACATCTTAGGCTTCTTAAATGAACGTATGTCTGCCAAACGGAACAATTCCAATAAAAGCGTACTTTGACTTAGAATTAGAGATTCTAGAGATAGAATTAGAATGAGAGGATCATCTAATTCTTAAAATAGTTACTACAGTAAATGCTGTACATCTAGATATTATGAAAACTGATATTTTTATGAAATTATATGAATAATTAAATGGAAAAATAATTCATTTCACTAAAGAACAAATAACGTTACGTATTGGTGCTATCAAATGACGTGAGCCCAGTAATGCATATATTTTTATGGGTTTCAGGGCTCATGTCTTAATGCACATAGTTCCGTTTGGCAGAAATATGTCCAAATATGGTGGAGTTCTCGAAGATTGGGGGGATTTTGCCCAACCCTGAACAGTCATGGAAAGGCCATTTGCAGCGGAACTTTGAAATGTTTTCTTCCAGCCCAAACATGACATTTTTTAACTTCAAAAAATTTTGCGCTAAACTGTTCATGAAAATTATTTCCACTGATTGTGAGAGAGGGGAATAAAGAAAAATTAATTCACAAGCCGGTAAATTTTGCCACGGAACCTCGACGTTTTTTCTTCCAGCCAAAATAGTGCATATCTTCATCTCAAGAGACTTGGCGCCGATAATTGTTAATGAAAATTATTATAAAGGGGAGGGGGGGGGGGTAAATAAATGAAAATCCCTTTAAAAGTCAGAGAATTTCGTGTTCAAAATCCCTGGATAAGTCGGGGAATTTTGAAATCCAGGAACACTTGTTGCGCCGAGGTCTTATTTGCTTTCGTCACCTTGAACTTGACGTAACCATTCTTAAATTCCATCCAGATAGACGAATCGACACAGTTTATTTGATACAACATTAGTGTATTACATTCGCTAAAATCTTTTCAGCGTAGAGCTTTGTGATCAGCCCTGCCATATGGTTCAGAAAATGATACCTCTCACCATAAATCGCCTGGGGTTCTTACTTAAGGGTTCCTCTGGAACTCGGTGTCCATTCTCTCCTTAATGAAGGTACCTTATGGGATAATCTGTGATGGTAGTTGGATTCCCTAATGACAAACTACAGGATATGTGGTGCTACAGACAGGTGACAACTATGTGACAAACAAACAATGACAAACTACAGGTGTCATGCAGAAACAGCACGGATTTTGAGAATTCGGTACGAAAGTGCGGGGAAAGTACGAGTTTTCCGCAGGAAAAAGCACAGACCTACAGTTTATTCTTGGTTAACGGAAAAATAGCCTTGAAATTTTGCATTTTTTCTACACAATTTCCTGTATCACGTTTCCGCGAAATCTCAGTTACCGTGTTTAAAATTCCTCAAAGAACATTCCTACGTGCTACTTATAAATTCAAATTCTTCTCTTTCTTTCGTGCGACCGAAGATAGAGGCAGTGTAATTAGTATTTTAGGAATCTTTTAAGAGGAGGAATTTTTGAGGAAGAAGGGGAGGGGGTACGGATACGAAAATACGGCAGATATCGGAAAGGTCGGAAAGAAGACGAGTCAAATCTATCTGGACTCCTCGGCAGAAGGATATACGAAAAAAAAAAACAAAAACAAAAGACGATTATTCACGATTATTTCAGTCACAAATTAAATAAAATGAAGCGCCTTAGTTAGTACCCTAGTGAGTGCTTGCCTAGTGCCCTCACGCGCTCGACTGAAGCCAAGCTAGGAACGCAAGAGCCCCTTCAAATGTTCGTGTATGCAACATAGACAACAATGGAGCCGTAATAGTTGCACCTCACCAATAACATCAACGCGCTCGTCTCCTGCTACCCAAAAATTGCCACTTGCTTGTAGTTCAATCAATTATTATTACATATAATGATGGTAGGCGAGCTCTAAGTTTTCAGATTTCTTTTGCAAGCTTTTGAGCCTAAAATAAAGCCGCTATATACCGTGAAAAGATATACTTAGAAGACCAATGAAAACGAAAGTTGGGATTTTTTCTGATGAAGTTAAACATGCAAGTGGTTTAAGGTATGCCAAGAATTCATTTATCAACGTAAATTACTCGTGATTCGAATTGTTGACCGTCTCATTTACCAGTAAGTTTCTTCTTATAGTAACCAGATAGGACGTCACTTAAATTCCAGCTTTCCTCGCAGATTATCCCAGTGCAATAATACCTCCCTCATTTATTTTATTTACGCCCTTTTATTTGAAATTCCCAGTCTTCATGTTGAACTGTTTTATCGGATAAATTCTTTCACCAACGAAAAGTTCTCTTGGGCCAAAGTAAATGATACCAACGTCGTAGCTACAGTTCTGCGGTGATTTCAATTCGTAGCTTCTCCTTTTTTTGACATTCAGCAACGATATGAGTCATTTTAATTCAGAGACCCAAAATAAGCCAATTTTTACACACCAACTCATGCTTATCTACCGAAACATGGGGAAATGTACCTACCTAATAGAATTATGATTAATGGATTTTTTAAATTTTATAGTAATTTTTGCAGCTGAGAATAAAACGGATTGAAAGGAATATATGTATCTTCTGGAAAAAAAAGTTTTACCTCCTTCTTAATTTTCTTGTGTGTTGACTTATTCTCGTTCGAAATTCTTTTGTGTGAGTTTTTTCTGTTGTAAATATTTATGGAGGAAGCTCTCCCTACTTGTTTTATCCTATCTTCCAGAGACCAGCACAAGTCAGTGTAAGGACGGTGAAGTGCATGACCAACTAAGCATCGTTTAAAAAAGAAATGAGGATAGAGGAGACCGCTTAAAACTTGACGTTACGAAATTATTCCCGAATAAAATTGAAACTCTTCTCATTTACATGAAGTGTGCATTAAAGGAGCTAAATATTCTGAAAAGCCCCGTGACATTGGAATTGAGATGCTCTGGATAATTCAATCACTGCATTTCACCCCATTGAAACATATTAGATAGGCAGTCTCAATGCTGAAATTTAATACCTCAACTAGCTCTGTAAGATGCAGAAAATTGCTTTAAAAATCAGAGAATAAATGTATCAGAGTCAATCCGCTGTTTAAATTATAGAATGAAAAATTCTCATTCTCTGCCTAGCTTAGCGCTCCAGTGGGTTGACACCAGGCACCCTCCTATTTCCATCTACAATACTTATCCCGTTCGATCAAAAATATAAGAAGTTTAAATTGATTTTTTCCTGATTGATATCACTTTCACTTACAATTTAAATAGCCTACCATTCATTCAAGCTAATGTTGGTGATCAATTCAAGGCGACTCCAAGCTGATTCCAAACAGAACATATTGTCATGGTTTATCTGTTTTCTTCTTTTAATTTTTCTGCACCATATTGATTCCTTTCCATCACAAGCAAAGAATATGAGTTCAAATATGTACATATATACATCCATTTTCATAAATCTGTCTTTCAATCATTAAATGTGCTTCAATATTTTAATGTTATGTATTGGGTTTATCATCAATTACTCTTTACTGAAAACATTCCTAAGTTTAAAGATAAAAACGCCTTGATTTAAACTTTGTTATTTGCCACGGTGGAGTTCAAATTTTTTGCAAACAAAAGCTGCTTCTGGCTCAAAAAAGTCAAATATTCTGAAACCTGAAAACCTCATGTTCCCAAACTGTGGAACAGAAATTTCTGTAACTTAAGTGGTTGCTGCAAATATGAACAAAATTTAACACATTTTGAACAACTCATTCTTAAGGCACGAGTCCTAGGAGGGATTCAATTTGAGCAAAATATCATTAGTTTTGTCTTTTGAAATTATATTTTCATAAGAATAGGTATTTGGATTTAGCCAAAGTGTCAGATTTGGATAATTAATCAGGTATTCCTGTGCCAAATTAATGATCCAAATCCACGTTGGCTAAATCCAAAAATCCATTATTAATAATGGTGTTACTAAAAAATCTACTAAATTCAAAATTAACTGCATTTTCATGTTCCTTATGACTCTTCAGGTGAGACGAGTTCTCTATGTGCCAATTTTGAGAAAATCAGGGATGTTAAAAGGAAATTTTTTAGGTCTTTGCCAATAAGTAATTTTCTATTTAGACGTGCTAGATGTATCTGTTTAAGCCTTTGTTCACAAGCTGAGTAGCAAGACACTGCACACTGTTTAAAAAAAAAAAGCTTGTTTTTCTATTTTCTTTATTTAAAGTCATTGCAAAAGTTAAGCCATAGTCGGAAAGAAAGCGCAAGAATCGGAAAACACGCAGCATTTGGTCTGACCTTTCTAGTGAAGAAGGAAGAACCCTTCTTTATTCCTAAAGTCTAGCAACGCTGCAACAGTTCTACTAGCAGGGCCGGATTTACCTACTTGCCGCCCATGAGTCGCCTGTATTTTGCCGCCCCCTTCTCATTCGTTTTGAAACATCATTGAAAACCACCAAGTGAACGTGCCGGAGGGAGAGGGATGTGTAAGACGCGTTTACTCGTGTTGGACACATTTTTTGCGAAAGCCCTGTCAATACAACTAGCAAAAATTCACGGAATTTTGCGCGAAAGTTAAGTTCCGTAAAACTATCTCTGTGTGGACAAGGCCTTCCATTTATACGAAATGAACGAAAAAATTATGAAAGAACAAACATAAATATTGTCGCGCCGCGCTGACCGTACTGTTTCGCGCAATGCGTGAAGTATTCACGTAGTCTTGTAGGCGCTATGCGTTTTGCGCCGGCCGCCGCTGACCGCGCACTGTATTTGACGCAGTGCGTGCAGTATTCATGCAGTCTTGTAGGCGCTAATATGTGTTACGTGCCGACCGCCGCGCCGCGGGCTTCTCCTTTTCATGCTCTCTTTGCGCCACGCCGCTCCAGGCCAAATTGCGTGATTGGTTTCTCTCTTAACTCGACTAATTAAAGGTGCTGTCTCTTGTATCACCGAAAGACATCAAGATTAGAAATGACTATACTCTCAGTAAATGAGAGATTTTGTCGCCCTTTCTCGTTTGTAATTTTTTTTAATCCGTTTTTTTTACACACCTATATTTAAATAAATTGCAAAATTTGCTGCTCCTTAAATTTGCCGCCGTGGGCCGCGGCCCATGTGGCCACCCCCTAAATCCGGCCCTGTCTACTAGAAAATGTGTGTATAAATATTAAAAATTCAGTTCAGTTTGTCCTTTAATTCATTTATAGGATAGTTCCAGATTTTTAAGCCTTTTGTACTTAAATAATTACAAAGAAAATCATGTCACCAATTTTTTATGTGGCACCAAATCCCTTTTTTGAACGTTAATTGTCTGTCCTTGAAATTACGAGATCTGATTGCGGAAATAGAAGTGCATTAGGATGTTCTGTTACATTACCGTTATTTATTCTCAATTGTCTTTCTTAAATCGAATGATTCAGTTTAGTCAATGGACCTTTCAGCTTCGCTCTACCATTTACTTTCTTGAGCATTTTCTCTCACTGCTAATTCCGGCCTGTCCTCTTACAGAACATGCATCCAAAGTTCGTTAAGACAAGGAAAGCATCTTTAACGTAATCATCTAATCTTCAATAACAGCACGACTTCAATGTTGCGATTTTCAGAAGTTGTAAGGTCATCTGATTCAACTGATGTGTTTTGACTTCCCTGCTTGTACTGACACATTCCGTTTCTTCAACAGGTATGGCTCGATGTAGTCATTTCATGAGTGCTTGCTACTTTGTGGCCACGATATCTGATAGAGGCAAAAGGCATAAAGCATATCCTTGCAACACAGCTTGCACGAGAAGGCTGCCTGGACCCTTAGGAAGTGCATTGGTGCCAATGGGAGAACACACTCCAGACGGGTGAGCCTGAAAATTCTCTCTCTCTCTTGAAATCGAGGAATAAGATTCTGGTGTATGAGTTTAGGAACTCCCAGATAAATCCCTGGTGAAAAGAGGCAATAAGCGAATCTCTTGAGATTTTTCCTTTTATTTGAGAAGAAAATTTCAGAAAAATTGAATATGAGTCCATCCACAGATGTAATAGGAAGAGATACGGAATCCTAGATCAGAATCCATTTAGGGACAGGCGTAAAAAAATTGTAGATTTTACTCTATTCCATTTTCCCCCTCATTAAGTTTGTGCGTGTTTACTCATTTACTCAGAAACATTTCCCAGAAATTTCGAATCGTCTTCTTCTACTTACAGAATTACAGTAATCAAAAGCTCTTTTGCAGGACCCCATTTTAAATTTAGAAGGAAAATAATTTTTTCCTTTCCTGCCTCCATTTTCCTCAAGTCTGCTGAACGATTTCAAACATCAACATTGTGAAAGGACATTGCTTCCACTTTAGTAAAATGAGAAATGTAGGACATTTATTTATGGCTTTTGAAGGAAGTCTCAATTAACTCTCAGATTGCGTAGTCTTGTCACAGCAGAGAAAACCTTTGATTTTTCAAATCGTCTATCCTAGAGTATCAGAAGACCTCTTTGGGCTGAAAGACCCAAAATTCAGTTATTTCTACTATCAATCTCAGGGCATAAAGAAGGTACCAAATGAGTAATTCCTGCACTCATGAATCGGTAAAATGAATTGCTTGTGACCTGAAGTAGGGTTTTAATTTCGACCATGGACAAAATCACCTTCCCCTTTCTTTACCTATCAGTTGTGTTTAAACAATCTGTTTATTTTTTCTTTACCGTCCTAAATTTTTAATCTTTTGTTTCAGCATCCAAGGAACATATTGTATACAAATGAGAGCTAGTCGGAAGTGTCCATTCGACTAACAAGTCTCTCCTCGAGTGAGCGGAATCAACCTTTTTACGTGCCTGATATTTATAATGTAACGCGAGTTTCTCGTGGAGCCACCATGAAAATTCAGCAACAGGACCAAAAAACAAGATGCATTCACCAGCAACTTGCCCCCCAAAAAAGGTGAATAATGATAACTCCATGGTAGATACTGTGTAGGTAAAATCATGTCCAGTTACTCGGTGTCGAACACCAAAATACACAACAGTTTCATTCTAGTATTACAAAATTGCTTCGACCTTCATTTTTTTCTCACAAACACTGCCAAAGTAAATGAAACAAAATATTCAAAAGTAAATTTCAGGGAAAATTTAGTGAATGTTTTAAAGTGCGAAGAAAATTTTTTGTGATTTCCCAAGGTCATAAATGGACATTTTCCCCCGATTTTTTAATAATTAGCAATAATGAATATAAATATTCTGTTATGTAATTCTTTGATGTACTCACAAAAATTTAGAAATATGTGCCTATTGTGGTAGAGACACTTCTGCCTCCAAAATTTCACACAATCTAATGGATGTATCCTGTTTGTTGATCCTGTTGGTCACTTTAGTCAGATTTTAAAACTTAGTTAATGTTTTCAGTCACATTTAATTTAAGTTTACTTGTCTAAAATAGAGGAAAGAATTTTTTTACGCTTGATATTTTTTCCTAAATATTCTTGCAAGGTCATGTTCACCACTAAATGATAATTTTTAGGCATTAAATAGGGCTGGAATAGACTAAGCTGCAAATTCCAATAACTTATACAGTAAGAATATGTTTTACAGGTCTTCTTTTGTAATTATACAGGTAGATTTTTCAGATTTAAGTCTCATAAGAAGGGTTGTAGTACCTATCTGATTAACGATCTGAATGCTGCAAACTTTTGTATCAATGGCTTGTTAGTTGCCTACAGCATTAAATTTCCAGCTTTTGGTCCATTATTTGCAGAATTTAAATATGAAATAAGAGGATCAGTGGAAATGAGTTTTCTCACAAATGTCATAAAAAAAAACAAAAAAATAACATACTCATAATATAGAATATGTATTAATATTCCCCCTCTTCCTTGATTGTCCTTCCTGAATTTACAGGACTCTCTGATAGTATAAGATCATGAAAAACCACATTTTTGACAAGGAAAACTTAGTAATTCGCTCTTCCTGCTTATTTTCCAGAAAAAAGTTAGAGTAGCCTGAAAATTTGATTTTTTTCTGAATTTCATAGACACCTCAGGATCACTCCTGTATTGTGGCATTTCCATGGATTCAGATAATGTTGCTGTTGAGAGATATTTTTTCCAGCAGATCTATCTACTTAAATTAATAATACCTCCACAAAAATGTTGCAGATTTTTGTTGCTTTAGTTTTATCTGATGTATTTTTAGTGCAATTTTTACAAAACTGTTAGAGAATAAGATGTGTTTCTTCAACGATCCCTCCAAATGATTCATCAGTAGTTAGTAAAAAATGTGACAAAATAATTACTGTAAGTTTAAACTTCTTGCCTTAATAAGATGTGTTTCTTCAACGATCCCTCCAAATGATTCATCAGTAGTTAGTAAAAAATGTGACAAAATAATTACTGTAAGTTTAAACTTCTTGCCTTTTATAATTTCTATTTTTGCGATCAATTTGTTCATTGTAATTCGTAACCTGCCTATCTTGAATGCATTGACTAACAATTGGCCACAGCATGCCTTTTTTATAAAGATCTGATCTGTAGCTCTTAGGGCAGGTAATCAAAATCCTTTGTTCCGTTTACTATAAGCTACCATAACTTGTGCCACTGAAACAAATATTCTCTTAGTCATCAATACTTTGTGAAGATATGAAAGTCAACAATAAAACAATTCAGCTGATAAAAACTTTTTTTCATTATGATCCACTTTCACCCACTTTGAAGGGAATCTTAAAGTATTCTGAAAAGTTTGCAATGGAAATATTCCTCTGAGAATATTATAATATGTAGTAAGATATTAAAGACGAAGTTTGACAAAACTAGTTGTCAAATTATTAAAATTCTACTGTTTGTTGCAGCAAAGAGATTTATAACGATCTCTTCTGCCTGACCAAGGAATTTTAGTCTAGTGATCAATTGGACTGTATTTAAGAGAAATGCATCAAGTTGCATTTTCGAAAAAAATGAGTTGAAAGAAGTTTTGAACCAGACTGTTGGTAAATTTTCTCTGGTCAAAAATTCCAAGTTGAGAAAAAATATTTTGAATGTGGGAGTGATCGTTAAATTTTCCCCTATAACTGAGTCTTGAGGAGATTTAAAACTTCAAATCTCTTTTTCTCAATTTAAACTTTGTGCGTTTCTACTAATCTCTGTCTAATTGTTGTCCACCTTGTAATGGAGTGCATCACCATTGCCTCATCGCTGAATTTCTGTGAGAGCACCTTCCAACTAAGCTGCTCTGAACAGATTTTTATTGTTAACTTCAGGAGGTTTTCTCTTTTGGCAATTGAAAGAAGTAAATTTGATAATCAATGTGTTTTTGGGGTTCATGAAAGTGCACTTAGTGTACAAAAGAGTAAAGTCGGCTTGCAAATGCACTTTAAGACAAGGTGACGTTGATACATTCTTATATCAGGTACTTATGTATTTGTAGGATGCAGGTGAAGTGAAAGAAAAAAAACCTTGAATATTAATAAACCTGTTTATGACTTTAAAAATTTCAATTCTAACGATGTTAGTTTGCTCACATGGCGAGCGAGACAGTGATAAAAATTTTACAAAACAAATCTGAAACCTCTCCAGATTGAGAAAATTAATAAATAAATAAGTACGACTGAATGGTTGTTAACCACACATTACAGGTGAATAAAAATAAAATTAGGATAAACAATTTAAAATATAATAAAAAAATTAAAATTATGGGAAAATAGTGGTAAGGGTAGCTAGTGCAAATATGTCTTGCCAGCAAAAATTCTTTATCAGAAGAGAAAATAAGAGGATTGTAATTATTAATTGACATAAATTGTAAGTAAAACTTAACAGGACTAGAACTTATTGTAGAAAAGTACTTAAGCTTTGGCCGAGAAAAGATCTACAAATAAAAATAAGTACAACACAGATCATTTTAAATGACAACTTTTTCAAATAAAAATAAAACTTGAGGGTCTCTTATTTTTCGGAGATAGATACACCTATTTTGAACTTTGAAAAAGTACAGTTTCCTCAGTCTCTTCAATATGGCACTCTCAATTCTTTAAGCATCAATTCGAAGTTATATTCTGTTTTATGGCAGTGTTCAATTGACTTGGGCTAGAATCTTTTAACTTCTGAGGACCAATGCATTGAAATTTGCTTAATGTAAACTAAAAACAAGGAAAATTTCAGAGACCAAAGTTTCAACAAACAATTAAATTTAGCACAGCACGGAAAAAGGCAACATCAATCAAATCCTGTGAATAAAAACTTCATAAAAAATTGCCACATTTACAAATAACAATTAAAATAAAATTAAAATTCATAAAAAATGTATATATTTTACATGAGGCTCCTAATTCACTTTCCTGAGAGGTCTCTTGGCTCATTGGGCGCAGGCAGTTTTTCCCATGTGGGTTCGACACCCCAGATCTCTCGTGCGTACTCAGCAATGGTGCGGTCTGATGAGAATTTGCCTGATGACGCAATGTTGTGGATTGCCATCTCTACCCATTTGTTTTGGTTGAAGTATGTTTCACTAACTTTGTCTTGAACTTTGATGTAGTCGGCATAATCAGCTAATAAGTAAAACCTGAAAAAGAAAAAACAGTTAGGTAACATTGAAAAAGACTTGACAGTGTATTTAATTTTTCTGAGGCACTTTACAGTATGAAAACCGAATGATAGGATTTACATTAAATTTGAGCCAAACTTTCAATTGACGTAAAGAAATCAGTCACAGAGATAGTTATAAAAGATAAGGATCCTCCAGGACTGTAAGGCCTGAAAAACAGTGCAGTTTGACACTTTTGAAGATGAGATTATTCTTTCCTGTGCTGAATGGTTGAAAACATAGCCCTAAAAATGCCTTTTCAGTGAGATGCTGAAAAATCGAGCCAAGAATAAAATGCTAAAAAGATGTTATCCAAATTTTGGCAAGTAGGGAAATGTTTTACTGGTTAATTTTTTAAAAATTCTGAAGTAAAGAATCTTTTAAAATTTTGCAAATTTTAAGAATTAACTCTTTGCTGTTTAAAGAACCCCGCATACTCCTTATGGGAAAGTGCATCACGATTCACGATCGATTTTTAATTTTTTTACTGGATTCAATTCATCTCAAGATGCTGCTCTGTGATCATTGCGCCAACTTTCTGCGATGCACCGTTTTCGCACGATACGCCCGGAGCGCTTCAATTTTTTGGTGATAAAGAGTCAAAAAGAACAAGGCATTCGAGAATAGGTCTGATGTGAATAAGGAAAAACGTTGGGAATGTCAGGCTTCTTATCTATTTCTGCCTACTCTGGGGCTATCTCCATCCCGCTCTCGTCCGTTTGACCTTCACTGTTTTTCTCCGACTTTCCTGTTCTTATGCTTCTCACGAGACTGATTTGGATAGGTAATCAAGCAAAAAGGCATGCAGAATCCAAGAAAAGACTGCCACTCGATGCTGGAGTTCCCCTGATTTCCTTGTTGACACACAGCCGACTGTTCACTCAAGTGCTGAAATGAGGAATCTTTCTGACTCTTTATCGCTGAATAATTAAAGCGTTCCGGGCGTATTGTGCGAAAACGGAGCATCTAAGAAAGTTGGGGCAATTATCACTTTTGATCAGCATCTTAAGATGAATTGAAAACAATTAAAAAAATTAAAAATCGATTTTGGTGCACTTTTTCATAAGGAGTGTGCGGGGTCCTTTTAAAAGTGTATACCAGACATACTCCACAGATTATTAACTGATATTCAGTCCATAAAGAAACGCTTGCAGGTTCAACCAAGGCTTGATATTTGATTTTAATCTCTCTTGGATTATTTTTCACGAAATGGACTGAGTTTAAGAGAAGTATACCAAGTTACATTCCAAATGAGTTGAAGGGTTTTGAATTCAAGTAGTGGTAAAGGTCTATAGACCTTTGATTATTCAGCACCAGCTAAATTATGAGATTTTTTGATTTGATGTTCTTTATGATCTCCTGAGGAAGATAAGCTTATATAATTAAATTTTCAATGTGCCAACCTCGAGAAAATTAAAGTGCATTTTTCTGCAATTAAACATCGTTTTGTCATAAGAAGAGGTGACGCTGTCGAAGAGTTGAAGATGTAGAGCCTTCTGTTCTAAACTGAGTAGACATTCCTCCTTATCTCTGACCAGCATGAGATGAGGAGAGAAGGGCTCGCTTTTCAATTCCCTATGTTTCTCCACTTGATACAGCAAGTTAAAACTGCCGGAAATGCACGTCATTTCATTTAGGAGATTGTTGGGAGCATCTTACAAAAACCAAGTCGAAATTTAGCCGGCACCAAATATCTTGGTGTTCTGTACACAGTCATTTCTTCCTTTCAAGAAAGCATATTCTGAGCATGAAAGTAGTCTTTAAACTTTGTTATCAATATTAAGTCTTACAAAAGAATGAAACTTGAAACCTTAATTTCTTACTTCTAACTTGACACGTTTTTATTTCAATTTACATCCAATTATCCTCATTTCACACGAAGGGAAACAAGGCTTCTCACCTATTTAAGATAGAGTAAGTGTTATAAATTATGTCCATACTGACCTATCCCATTTCAGAAGAATATCAGCAATATCCTTGAATTCAGATGGGTTGTTCGGACTGAAGAAACCGTTTTGAATTTGGTCAATGCATTGCTTTAGCTCCGGATTCGCATTGTAATATTTGTAGGCATCATAACCGGACTTCTTGAGCGCTTCAACCTCATCAACTGTCATTCCAAAAATGAAGATGTTTTCATTTCCCATCTCCTCTGCCATTTCTACGTTAGCACCATCGAGGGTTCCAATTGTCAGAGCACCATTCAACTGTAAAAAAGTGACAATTGATAATGAGTACCTAAATTCTTAAGTAAACAACGATTTATGGAAGATGTTTATCACCTACACATTGCATGGTCTAATTTTTTTTCTCATTCAAAATGTCCTTTTAAATTACATAAGATGGTGATTTTGGCTAAATCATTTTATTTCTTAAAAAATTAGATGATTCATTGATCGCTGGCAAAATATTGAATGGTTTGCTTGTTACTAGTGGCTTACTTCGAAAAATATCCGGAAAAAAACTAAAGCAGAAAATTTTCAGTGAACGGCAAATGATTTTTGGTGCACGTTACATACTTGGTTCCAAAGAGAAGTATGTAGTCTAAAATAGTAAACAATTCAATCCTTTATGAGTGCAATATGAGCGTTTCTAAACCTTGGAATTTGGCACTTTTCAAAACGATCAAACTTTGTTATCTTTTTAATTTAAGATGAAAAGAAAAAATAAAAGAAGAGTAATCCTCAAAAACCACTTTTTTGCAGTGAAACATAAAAGCAAAAATAAATTAATGTTTCGAAGTAATCAATTCCAAATTACAACTATGAGATTGACAATTGATTGGAAGACTTGCACAAACTGGTTTTCCATTGTTTTCATACCTCCTTGTCAAATTGGAGGGTGTGATTTACGACAATAACAAATTAAAGTTCGAAAATCACTGGAGATTTTTTTTCTCTCTTCTTTCTGAGGAAAAATTCTATAAGCAAGCAAGACATACAAAGCAAGAAATTTTATCATTAAGTTTGAGCTAAATTTTATTGGGTAAAAGATAATAAAATAAGCCAGAAAATAATATTTTGGTCGAAACTATACTCACCATGAATTTCATGTTACCAGTGCCTGAAGCTTCTGTACCAGCGGTAGAGATCTGCTCACTCAGATCAGAGGCGGGGATCAATTGCTCAGCTAATGTGACCCTGTAGTTTTCTAAGAAAATGACTTTCAGTTTATCACCCACAACAGGGTCATTATTGACTACGTTTCCTACATAGTTGATCAGCTTGATGATCTTCTTTGCAGTATAATAACCAGGAGCCGCCTAGGTAAAGACAATGGAAACAGAATTAATGCAAAAATGTATCAATGTCACTTTCTCACGGTAAAGAATCAATTATAAAAAGGAAACTGATTGAATTGGTCTATTAAATAAGAACCAAGCACCTGCTACATGCCCTTTCCAATGTTTTGTAGAGATTACTAGTGCTCAGGAGAGGTAATTACATTTACTGCCAAGAGAATGCCCAATTGAGACTGCTTAGAGATGACAAGTTTTGAGGACATTTAGTTTCAGTGAATCACCTTATTTCCTTCCAAAAAATCTAAGGATATAATCGGTTAATTTGAAGCAATGTGAATGGTTTGGCCAAAAATCAATTTCCTCGATTTTTTAGATACAGCAGAGGAAACATCACTAAAATCACACCACTGCCATTGATAAAGTCCAAATTTTGATCAGAATTTAACAAAAATGATTCGATTTTAATCATTAATTCAAGAGGTCAACTCTAATTTGAAACTAGGTACATAATTCTGAAAAAATGGATACGATTTCTTCAAATTTTCTAAGTCAAGAAATCAATGTGCCAATCAAGCCTTGAAGTGATCAATTTGAAATAGACATTCTATAGTATGCTGAAGTTGTCCTGTTTGGAGACATCTTCTTTCATTGCATTTTTTTGGTAGGCTCAATACAGCTGAAAGTAACTGTAAAAATCCAAATAAATTGTTAAGTCACTCATGGACCATTGTTATTTTTCTTTTACAATTTATTACTGAGTGAGCACTCGGGTTTGCAATTGATCGATAAAGTCTCTGATTGCTGACCTAATTTTGTGCTGTGCTTTTTGTTGTGTTAAATTTCTGTTTGCTGTTCCATGATCTGGTCCACCATGACCAACGCCATGATTGGTGTAAGTGGGGGTGCGCACTTTCAAAAAAATTGAGGACTTGATTAATTTTTTTCCCACATTATTATGAAGAAAAATTTTCAGGAATCCCATATTTGCCCCCAAGAATCATATATTACCTTTCCTCCAATCATCACAGTGCGAGGTACAAACTTGCCGGTTGGATTACGCTTAATACGGTTGTACATAGTTATGATGTGAAGACAGTTCAGCAATTGACGTTTGTATTCATGCAGACGTTTCACCTTTGTAAAAAAAACATTGATAATTTTAATAAATTATGTAGCCGAATTCTTCACTATTCCTAGTCAACTACTGAAGTATTTAAATAATAAACACAATGTGCAAAACATTAATAAAATTTTAAGATTAAGTAAAAAAGACAGAATTAATGAGAGAGAAATATTAAATCAAACCTTATGAAACCTTTCATGCAAAAAATTGGGTTCCTAACAAGAATTTTGTTTCTCTTCTGATACAAGAGAGGAGAGGCATTTCAGAACACTTTTTCAAAAAAAAACTTCAAGATAAAGTTTGCAAAATAATAACCATCACTGGTTACTTCCAATATAATTTTTTTTACAGAAAAAGTGCGTCACAGATTTCACACTATTTCCTCGCAGGATGAGAATCAGCAGTGAAATTTTTACAAATTCGTCAATAAAAGATCAAAGCTGCAGAAAGCTCTTCAGAGGAAAAATTAGTCAAAATATTGGTCTCGAAAATCTCTCATTCCTAGAAAAGTTTCTCCTTCCTTGCTGCTCTAAAATTTCTAAACTTTGCATTGAACAAAATTTCTTTAAAAACCACAGTGCATTATTGTGGATTGGTGGAGAGATGGTTTTATTTCTCATTTTGCACAAAGAAAAAAAGTTGGCATTATAGAATTTCCTCATACCCTCAGTGATTACCTCTTGTCCTACATGAGCAAGGGCTCAAGGTAATAGGTGACAGATAAAACAATTTTTTACCTATTTTCCCTTTCAGAACTGATTTTTATTGACTAATTTCTTTTTGGATTTTAAACTTATAAAAATGATCTAAGAGAATAAGTAGCATATTGAATCATTCTTTCACTAAAAAATCATTCTTTCTTCTTGGATGGGCAAAGAGATTCGAGAAGGAACTAGGAGGTAACTATTTTAAAGCTGACTGGACCTCGTACCTGAACATCAAACATAGAGGCAGGATTTAATTTAACGTTATAAGCCTTTTCAAGTTCTGTAATCAGTCTTTGTTTGTTTTCTTGCTTCACTTTTTGTACAGCACGCTGGAAACTTGGATCCTTGGCAAAAGCTTTTAATTGTTTAAGATGATCTAAGTGAGTAATCCATGAGTCACCGATTTTCTACAAACAAAAAAAACAAATCTAACATTATACGTAATACTACTTACACGAAAAATGTCTTACCAATAAAAAAAAATTACTGTGCATACCATGAAATAATGATCATGAACAAGGTATTCTTTGGCCACTTTATGTCACATAATATTGGGAGTTCCTCACCAAAACAAGTTGTCAAAATATATTTTTTTAAAAAAAGGCGCACACTGAAGAGGACAGTTAAAATAAACACACTGATTCAACTGACTCGCAATGAAAAAATGAAATTGAAAACAATTATTGGTTCTTTTGCAAAACCTCTGCACTTTTATATCATTTGCATTTAGAGCCAGTAGTTGATTTAATCTCATATTTTCCTTGTAAGTTACTTAAATTTTATGGGATTAATCAAAATACCGTCAAGTATTAGAGGTAAGAAATGCAAAAGATGCATGCATAGCTATGATGCTATGGAAATCAATAATTATCTGAGTAATAAAATTGAAAGAAAATTTACACGTCCAAACTTATAAAATAATTGAAAATCCCTCAACCTAATTGGAAACTGTACATCTACTTTTGTGACTTTGGATTCTTAAATTTTTTGGATTCTCTCAGATTCTCTTTTACTGAGTGAGAAAATAAAATTTCTAGAAACCTACATCTGTGATGACATCAGAGAGAGCCGGGTTACACAGGAGGAGCCACCGTCTTGGGGTGATACCGTTAGTTTTGTTCTGGAATTTGTCGGGGGTCATTTCATAGAAATCATGGAAACTGCAAGCAAAGGAGGAAAAAGGCAAAGTATTAGGACATATGAGATTAAATTTTTTGTATATGATAAGTAGGTAAAGATGGACTATAAAAAGAGAAAGATATCTCAAAAAAATACCGATGAAACTTTCAAAATGTTTGACTTTTATCAAATTTCAGACCCTTTCTTCTTACAGTTGATGTTTTAGAATGTCAACTCACAGATAAATGGACTTGAAAATACTTCCAATTCATTTTTTGGCAATAATTTAATTAAAAAATTAAGAAGTTTAGTCAGCGCCACATTATTTCGTAGTTTGAGCAATCTCCTTCACTGCAACGTTACCATTGCACTTAATTGACTGAGGAGACTTCAGTTTATTCGATTTGGAACTTAGAAAGAAATTATTCTAAACTCAAAGTTCAAAATGCGTCACTTACATATCTTTTTTGATGATATCAGAATGGATAGCTGCAACACCGTTCACAGCATGAGATCCGACAATAGACAAATGAGCCATGTTCACCCTCTTTTCTCCATCTTCCTCAATCAGAGACATCCTGCGCATTCTATCCATGTCTCCTGGGAACTTAGCCTGCACTTGCTGTAAAAAAAATAAGAAAAAATTGAGAAGGAATCAGGCAATCAGGGGAAATTTATAAAGATCAGCTTTCTTGCTTTAAAGGGTGCCAATTACGGATACAGAAAAATATTCTGGGTTCTTGTAAATTATAAAACTAAAAAACCATCTGGATCATAAGATTTCAGAATTTTCACTTCTATCAAAGGCTTGCTAGACTACAACTATATTCCAAGATAGATCAACTTAGGCCTTGAAAGTGATGGTAAAAGTATGTACCTACAGTACAAAAGACTCATCAATAATAGTCCGTGTGATTAATAAGGCATCTATCATGCACATTTTCAACGTTTTTCCAAGGTTTTAAGCCATCAGTTCACAGATGAAAGGTGAAAGAAAATGGTAGTTTGCAAGTCAATTAGGATGTTTGGAAGAAAATCGAAATTTATTAAATTTTTAGCTTAAAATCGTTTAATAGGCAATTGGAGGGTACGTCAACCACAAAAAGGCAAAATGTTCTTTGTTTCACACAAACATGGCTATTAATTACTTTGATAACAAGCTATTGTGGGTTTAAATTTCTTAAGTTCAGGACTCTAGATTGTACATTCACGATGCAACTACACTCCTTCTATTGACCGAAAAATAGAATGAAATGTTTGCAACTTTTTCATTGAGATAACCAAGAGAATTTTCTATTGATGATTCCTGAAAAATTTGCCTTTGAGCAATAAAATCCCTTTCCCATTGATGATGACAGACTTAATTAATGTTCCATCAACTGAGCATACCTGCAAATGAAGGAAGTTGATATGGTAGATTATCTGCATGTGTCTTGGAAGAATGTGCTCAAGCATGCCGCACGGCCATCTTTCAAGAGCTTCGGGCAGAACAGTGTGATTTGTGTAAGCACACGTTCTGACTGTTATATCCCAAGCAGCTTCCCACGACAGTCCTTCTATATCGATCAGAATCCGCATCAGCTCTGGGATGGCGAGGGAGGGATGGGTGTCGTTCAGTTGGATGGCAACTTTATCTGGGAACGATGAGAAAGAGGTTCGCACGGTGCTCGATGAGCCATAGTCTGATGCCTTGAAGCGACGGATGATATCCTGAATAGGCAAAGTCAAAATTCATTGATTAAAATCATGGGGCAAGAAAGGTTAATAAGTATCACAAATTCTTCATAGGTACTTGAGTAAAAGCTTAAGGAAATTTAATTATTATGTTAAAAATATGCAAGAAATAGCCCCCATTTGCAATGACTTTTTAAATCATTTTTCAAAAACACATGAAAAAACAAATAACATGTTAGTTTTGGCTATTTTTTAAGCAAAATTTACGAGAAGTAAAATTTGAGGAAAAAAGTGTTAAAAAAACTCTTCAAATTTCACTGTGGTTTGATAACATTTTTTTCAAACATTTTTAAAGTTGAAAAACCACAGTTTATATTTTAATAGTTTTTTAACAATTTATTACTTAACTTTTACCGCTCGTACATTTTACCTAAAAAAATAACCAAAAAGGGTTTCCTAATACAAACATATCAAGGGTTTTTCAAGAGTTGTCTCTTAGAAATTTAAATGTTTTTCTAACAGTCATTGCTCCTAGGGTCTCAGGAAAAACAAATTCTTTACTCAGCAGCAATGACAGTAAAATACCCTTGTAAAAAAATCGAAGAAACGAACCCAAATTAATTTAAAAATTGAAAAAATTGTTTGAGGATACACAAAAAAATGAAAACTTAGAAGAACTCATAAAGAATAAAGCAGGTCATTGTTTACAAAGACAGAATTTTCAACTCTTTCGATTGCCTCACCCGTGCCAACAGCATATAAAGTATTTGGCAACGATTTAAATATGCTGCAATTGTCTCTTACACGTGTTCACACTATTGCCAGATTTTACTTCAATTTATTGTATTAGGTAACACAGATAAAAAATTGACATAGTAGATGACATCATTGCACTTAATAAGTAGTGCTTTCTGCATTGCTTTTCCCAAGAATTATATCATGAATTTCATTTATCTACGTATCTCTTTAAAATATATTTTCATTAAGGTGTAACTATACTACTAGACTACTTTTCCTATTTTGCTACTAGGAGACCATTATTTTTGAAATCTATGTCAAAGTTCTCAGGTCTCCTTGCCTAAATTTCAATTTTTCCAAAATCTCTAATCCAACAGTTGCAAACTCTAGTGGAATAAAAGCACACCTAGCAAAATGATGAATTTCAGTCTTTCCCTGAGAAATTTTTAAATCTGTCTTTAAATTTCACAACCTAAACTTTGTTGATTTACTAGTGATACTCTCGGACAGCCAAGATCTTGCAGTGATGTCCAATTTTTTCATAAGATATAGTTCAGTATCTGTTTGTATCTTGTAAATCAATTAGAAATTCCAGCAGCATTTCAGAAATGTAGCCAAATTCAGAATGACTCACTTGACTTTACCTGGACATTTTAAGTTGTAGATTTAAAAGTAAATTTTTCAGCATTCTTGCATGCATTTTCTTGAGGACATTTCTAATGACCTGTTGCTTTGTAAGGGTGGACAAGGCACTGTCATCACTCGAAAGGAACTGAATTCTTTTCGTCCGTCTCATCTCCCCGGCCAGCGAGAAAACAAATTTTTCCTCAATGACCAATCAGATGCGGCGACATTTCTACTGCATAATGCATTTAAGAATACTGAAAAATCTACTTTTCAATCCTGCTTTTTTCCCGATTGGAACATAGAAAGTTCAATTTTAAAAGTTTGTCATGCTTAAGAGGTTGTAAGGAAAATCATGACGAATTATCCTCATATTTTGCTGACGCCAAATTTCTTGAGATTCTGTGCATTATCCTTTTATCAGATCTGCGGATACCCCGTTTTATTCAAAATTTTCCATCATTCAAAAATCTTCTATTTATTTCAGCCGATTCTTGGAATGTTTGAAGTGAAGATGACCCACCTGTAATGTAGCAGCGCACATGAAGTACTCTTGCTTCAACCTCAATTCCTTGCCCTCAAAATTGTTATCGTTAGGGTACAATACACGAGAAATGTTCTCAGCAAGATTTCTGTCCAAGACAGCTTGAATGTAATCACCATCGTTGAAGAATTTGAGGTTGAATTCAACTGGTGATTTTGCAGACCACAGTCGCAGGGTGTTGACGATGTTGTTTTGGTAGCCTGGAATTGGGCTGTCGTAGGGCATAGCGAAAACAACCTGTGAAAAAAGAGATAAAATTTACTTCGAGTACAAGATCTTCTAAAGCTTTTCATTGCACAAAAAAAATATTTTTCACAGAGTAGAATTTTAAAAAATTTAAACTAGGTAATATTTTGCAAATAAAATACGGATTTTTATCCCTGACTTCCCCATTAGTACCAAATTAGGCATGGAAACTAATCCTTCTTATCGTTTTTTTTCCATCAATGATGATAATTCTAAAACAAGGTATTATCGGTCTCTATCCTCAAGATAGACATACAGTTCTCTAGACGAGTGTCACCAAAAGAGCATCAAATACGCTAAGAGCTAACGGCTCATATAGACATTCTTTAAATGCATTTTGGAACCCTTTTCACAAAACCAGAATTTTTTTTATCAATGATTGAGGAAACTTTGCTAAATTTGAAAAAGTTAAAATTGGTAAAAACAGTGGGGGGGAAACATGATTTTAATCACTGCTTGATAAAATTTTTAGAAGTTGAAAAATTTATAATATCCACGTAACTACCCACAGGGTTCTGGAAGTTTTCATTTCGAAATATTATGCGCATTTACCTGAGTGTTGACCCATTTCTTTCCTGAGGGTGTATCTTCAACTTTGCCGTAAAAGTTGACAGGCAACATGAACTCTGGACGAGCCTTCTCCCATGGATTGCCGAACCTCAACCAATCATCAGGTTCTTCTGTCTGATGGCCATGGAAAAAATAAATAATTTGTTTTAAATACAGTTGTTAATACGAAACAGGAAACTTGGATAGGAAAGGTAGTTAAAATGTCATTTCTCCTGGTTTATTGAGCATTTCTCCGATTCTACCCTCCCCTATGCAATTTTTCTCGAAGAGCCAATAGGAAGTCTCTCAATTACTAGTAACGCTTCATATATATTAAAAATCGAAGGAGACGCAAAAATTCCATAAAATGATAATCCCCCCCTCATCTCCCTCTGATCATATGTTAGCCCCTTGACAAATATACCTCTTTGACAACCACTATTCCATACTTTTAACTTATTAATACTACACCCGACTCTTCAACTCTCTGGTCCAAAGCTTTAAAATCAAAGTTATACTTTCAGATTTTGAATCTCAGTTACCGACAGCCAAAAGTTGCAGCGGAAATGCAGGATGAATTATTTTCTGGAGAACTACCGATAATATTCTCTTACATGAAACAGATAAAAAGAGAAAAAATTAGCCCTCACCTGTTCACCATTGACAATTTTTTGAGCAAAGATACCGTACTCATAACGAATACCGTATCCGTAAGCTGCTAATCCAAGGGTGGCCATGGAGTCGAGGAAGCAGGCTGCAAGACGACCCAAACCTCCATTTCCCAGTCCAGCATCTTCTTCAAGTTCTTGCAATTCTTCTATGTCCAATCCAAGCTGAAGAAATAAATCGGACACAAATTAGTTACAAAAAATTAGGGAAGGGGGATGAATATGCACTTCAAGATAACACAAACGCAAAAGTTTTAATTACCCTGATAAAAATTGGCAGTAGAATCTGTGTTCCAAAACACCATAGACCTACGGCCGGCTGTAAGATTTCCAATAGCTTCTATAGCCAGCTACACAATTTCTTATAGCCGATTGCGATTAAGCAACTCACAGCCAGGCGATAAAGCGTATGCTAAACGTCACTAATTACGGCTGCTAGGACTCAGTGAGTTTTTGGACCACTGCTCTCTCTCTTTGGGCCGTAGTATCTTGATTTATTTTGCGAGGAAAGCTCCGTACTTTTGATGGATGCCTGCCATTCCTAATACATTAGAGCGCCTCCAGTTTCGTATGATACTGTGCAATACTTCTGGTGTGAAATAGTTGCCTCAAGCGCCGTGGCACGCTGCGGTGCGGCAGGCGGGCAGCCAGCGCGGAACGCGCATTGGCGCCTACAAACCTAACAGGGATACTTCATGCGTTGCGCAATGCGTGAAGTGTCCCTGTTAGGTTTGTAGGTGCCAGTGCGTCGCCGCTCCGCTTTGTGTTAGGCTCAAATATTTAATCTGGCGGAGTCAGCGTTATTCAACTCATGATTTTGAAATGTTTGCACATCCTGTATGGATTATTCTTGTTTTAATTGATGGAAAAAAATATGTATTGAAGGAAAATATAACGTGTGTTTTGTAAATATTAAGGTGGTTCCGTATCAAACTTGATTATTTCCAAAGCACACGAATTTCTACACAATTTCTTACAGCCTTTTATAATCGATGGCGAAAAAGCAACAGCCAGGCGATAAAGTGTAAAGCCCGGCGATAGGAACGATAGTCCGGCTGCATAATTTTTTATCGCTTCGTATAGCCCGGCCGTATGATTTTCTCCGTATTCTACAGCCAGCTATATGATTTGTTGTAGCCTTCTTCAGCCGGCTATAATAATTCCTATGGTATTTTTAAACGCAGCTCTTATCGCCAATTTTTACCAGGGTACAGAGGACTGAGTTAGAGACATCGTTTGAAAATGATGGAAATAACTGATCGTTTTCAGTGCAGGGAAACTTGCGAATTTTCTGAAGGACCTTCATAGCATCTTCGGTTTGTCTGTAGTAAGACTGTGAGGTTGGAGGTATCAAAGATTAATTTGCGAAGGCAGAAAATAGAAGCATTCTGCAAGGAGCTTAAGCTTATGTATTTGCGATCAGCGCGGTGCCACTGTAAACGCCTTCAATTTTTCATGCATGCGACATGGACATCCATGAAGCACGAATAGTTGCATTCAGGAATTTGAAGGAAACAGGCATCGTACTTATTGCTGGCAGAGATTGCTTACGTTCTGAGTACTCTATCGATTCACATAAATGAGTCGTATGAAGATTTGGAAGTTGCCAAATTTTTCCTGACTAGAAAAACATTTCTATAAAAGTTCTACATTTTATTTATTGGAATATAAAGAGACTTGTTTGCAATATCATGTGGTATGCCTGTAAATACTGATAAAAATTATTCTTGGGTAACTTCTCTCAATTTTTTTTCAATCCAAAGAAATTTGGCAACATTTCAATCCTCTAATGACGTTCATTTAACACGATAGTACTAATTCTCTGGTATTAGTTGTTCAATTTGGCCCTTTGAAGAAGTTTTTATACTATAAATTTCATTTATTTTCCAGCATTCTCGACTGTGAGTGACATTAAAACTGTTAAAAAAAATACCGAAGGCTGAAGTAAAAAAACGTGTATTTTCTGATGCAACGTTGCAAATCTTCGCTAATTTATATTTTCTCATCCGAGAAAATCCAATATATTTCCGTGGATTCGCACTTTCAAAAGATAAATGCATAGAAAATTTCAAGAGTATACTCTGCTCAGTTTCCAACTGAAAATTAAGATATTACCAGAGATTTTGAAACGTTCTGATAAAGATGCGCATTTTTGGACTTTTACAGTCATCGATACAAAATAAACTGTAAATGTCTTGCCAATGAAATAGACTGCTTACAGCTACACAATGAGCTATAACACGAGGCAACTTGAATTGATTACGAAATAGTTTTACCTGATACATAGCCTCATCGCAAGCACTTTGAATTCCTAAGTTGATCATGGTGTTTGAAAGAGTTCTGCCCATGTAGTACTCTAGTGACAAGTAGTAGACCCGCTGAAAAATCAAAAACGGAAAGTATTAGGTATGATGGACGAGTACACGTATAATTAGAATCCAAAAATACATGCAGGTGAAGAAAAATCGACAAATATATTTCCATTCGTGTGAAAAAGACCCTAATAGTCAACAGAGGAAAAAAAATTGGTATTCGGATTTTGAGATATTGACGTAAGTTTTTTCGGTGACCAAAAGAATTCATTGCGAGCGGTTTGGTCCATCTTTCGTGTCTATAAAGAGTGTGAGGCTATATTCAAATAGGGTAATTTTGTGCCTTCGAAACATTCTTGAGTGCTCGGGTATGAATAACTCAACTCAGGGTTTTTAAGGACGAAGGTTCCTTTTCCCGTAAACAGTCACATATTATTGAATCTCTTTATGAAGCGTATCACTGGTAAAAAAAACCTCTTGGACCAATGCCGCATTGCATTGACTTAAGAATGCAGTTTCTTGTCGCCGGATTTAAGAGTTTTGAACTCTTGTTTCCAGCGGATTTTACATTGATTCAATTCAAACGTGAATTGAATCAATGCAAAATCAGCTTGAAACAAGAGTTCAGGACTCTTAATCCGGCGACAAGAAACTGCACTCTTGAACCAAGAGGTTTTTCTTACCAGTGTATAAGTATACTCGATGGATGAAAGGAACTTTTCTTTCACCGGCCTTACTACGGAATCTCCGTTTATACCTCTCTTTCTTCCTTCCGCTCTCATTGAAAGTATTTGCGAGAGTTGGCAATTATTCAGAAGGAGGTTTAAGAGGTTTTGAGGATAATGGTCATCATATTTGAGCTTAAAGTCGTATGTTCCTGACCTACTTTGACCTTCGCTCGAAAAAATTATTTGATGAGGGGCAACGCTCTGAGGCGAAAAGTTGGGATGAACCGGAACCGATAACGCAGATCAAGAACGCCTTAATCTCAAAAATTTCAATTAACCGACTTAATGAAACGTTGCTGCCAGATTGCGGAATATACTTCACAATGACTAAACAAGCTCACTCAGGGGGTTCCACAAAAATTGTGTGGCAAACTTTTCTGCGGACTGAATCAATAAACTCGACGTCGGTAGAAGATTTTCGCTTTTTTAAACGAGATTTGACAACAATGGAGCAAAAAATTCGCTTTATCGAGAAACAAAGGTCGCTATAAACTTTTGACCGAGTACGAAAGTAGGCTTGGAAGAGTTGGTCATCCTGATTTTATAAAAATCACTCTCAGAAACCATCTCTCTTGCTCTCGCTACAAGGACTCAGAGAAGGCTCAGGCTTCCAAAGCCACAAATAAAAGTTTCTCGTAAAATGAGGATAGCACCGGCGTGATCAATGTCATCGAAAAATTCGTTAAAATGACCGGAATATCCTTCACTAGTGGTTCGATGTATCGTTCGGTTTAAAACAACAGAAAATAACCTCAAACCAAAATTGTAGGATATTTGTCAGAAAAGCTGAATATGAGAAATTTCGTAGCAATTTCACTGCTCTTGGTCAAAAAGTACTCATACGAATTAAAAATCTATCACAAAAACCCCGTTCCATCAGATTACTCAATGGACTTCTGAGGCTATGTTTATGTTTTGAACCAATCGATATCGATACAATCTCACCCGTTTGATGTGTCTAATTTACAGGTCGATTTTCGCACTTCATCACGTGAATTTCTTTTTTGTTTTTTTTCTTTTCTTTTATTGCAGTGCCTGTAAGATGCAGTCAGACTGAACATTGCCGTGCTGAGAATATTCTTAGTTTCGACAGGAAAATGTTTTCCGGTAAACATTCGAGTGCATGGAACGAATCGTAGCCCCATAGAATAGTCTACATTCTGCAAAAGCGGTTTCCCTATTGCAGAACACTAAGTACACTCAGTACTCCTGGCTCTTTCATGAAAGCATTTTTCTGCAAAGAGAAACTAACAGCTCATAAATGTACTGTTTCTTTAGTGAGCCGAAAAAAGACGTTCCTTAAAGCAAAACATAATTCAAAACCGGTATTATACACAAACATGATTTTATTTGTATTGTTCAAACATCTGATACGACTATCAGCGTGATCGGTTAAAGATTGCGTGTTTACACCTATGACCGACAAATGAGATTATCTCGTCGACGAAAGATATTTTCGGTACTTGGAGGCTGGATTAAAAGTAATAAGCAAACAAACATGATTGTAGGTGCGAGTTCAAGCTGATACAAGAGGTCAAGGTCTCTTATCAGGTACCTAGCGCGCTTTTTCTTTCGGCCTAGCCGTGGATCTCCTAATTGAGGTATTTTTCCGTAAAAGAAGCGTATTGTTTGGAAATGAGATTTGAAGGAAAGAAGCAATCAGAAGTATAAAATTGTTCTTTTTTTCCTATCTTTTTCACACCAGCTGTCACTAAAAATACGAGTCAAAAGGGGAACTCTCATTTCAAAAAAAGGGAAAAATTTACCGGTATCTCTGAGGGAGCAAGGTGCAGAATGTGTCAACTACTTTTTATTTCAGTTTGAAAATTGAATTAGAACAGAAAAGGAGAAAAAACGATAACCTCCTCAACATGTTTGCATAGATCCTGGAATAAGTAATACATTATTGCTGAGCATCCATCCAATCACATGATATAAAAGGTGGGGTAATTTTTCCGCTCACAGTTATCAAAAAATAAACAAATAAATAAAAGAATAAAAGACACATTCAGCGTTTCAATTTTGACCTGGTCTTGAGGCCGAATCGAAAGTATTTATGCTAAAAGAAACTATGTTTTAATGATTTGAATAAAAAAGAACTATGTGCATAGGCTTTGCGAGCTTCATGCTTCTGTTCGATCTAATTAATTTGAACATAGTTCCTTTCAGCATGACGTCTAATTACAAAACGGACTAATGGGAATTTTTTTTTTTTTTTTTTGTGATATCAACATTTTCTGAGGTCAGATTCGCAGGGGCAGATTTTCTCTTGTAGGTCGGACTTTTCAATCGACCTATTCAATAGAAAAAATAAGCTACAAGATGGCGGACGACGCAAAATTGCGAGACAGAGAAAACGCACATTTATCAAGATTGAGGAAAAGTTAGTTGTTTATGCATTTTGTGCAAGAGCGACAGAATAAACGGAAGTAGTGCATTTTGCCGTTCATTATTTTCTGTAAATCAACTTTTATTTCAATTTCTTCGAGGTCTATGAGCACACATATGAACATTTTCTGCCCCCTCTACTCAAAAAAACGTTGCATGTCTTTTGTCACTATTAAGTCCAAGGTTTACATGCATGCACTTTAAAATAAAATGTCAACATCAAAACGAAGTCGTTTTGAAATTTCATCACGTATTCTAGGGATGAATATGCGCTTGACTCGCTCTTTTTATTTCCTTTTAAAAATAGCACACTAAATTGAAGTGCAGAGCAAAGCTTGTAAGGAGACACCCACCGCAATATTACCATGCTCAGAAAAAACACCGTAGGAGCTTTTGAATGTTGCCAAATTTTCTCTAAGAAGCCACGAATTATCTTAGAGACTTGAAAATTTTTCCCTTTCAATTTTTCAGCAAATTTTTTCCGCAATTTTCTCGAGTGCATTTGATGATTTCGAGGAAAAATGCTTATAATCTCGGTAAGAAGGCTTATAATAGTGCCAAATCCGTGTAACTTAAGTCTTTAAGTGGTCTTTACGTACCCAAACGCTATTCTATACAATGCTCCCATAAGCTCTAAAAATGTCCCAATTTTTCTGTGGAAATAATTAGATCGTAAAATAATGCACTTTTCTGTTATTGTTTGTGAAACTGCTTCGTTGGAAGCGGTATAGGCTCCTTTACCGCATATCCCCTTGGAATTTCACGAGATTCAGTGTTTCGTCCAAATTATGTAGCAGTATTTGAGTGCTTTTACGGAGTTTTTCCTTACAACTAGCACGGGAGAACACTGGGTGTCTAGTTTTGTTTTCATTTCGGAAAATACTGATTTTTAACTGCTAAATCCTGATTTCATAATTTTTCCAAATCCTGATTTCTAGCAGAGAAAAATTAGGCAAATGTAATTTTACAAAAATAGCTCGATAAAAAAATCCGATCAGACGGCCAACTTTTCTCAAATCCTGATTTTACGACCGATTTTCCCTCAAATCCTGATGAAATCGGGAAAGTCCTGATGCTAGACACCCTGTATCAACACGACTCTGGAGTCCAAAGAAAAGGGACGTTGTTCCGGGACCTTTATTTCGGAGAGTATGCTTTATTTTGTCGAGGGAAAGTCGGGACGGTGGGGCGCAAACAAAGGGAGTGGAGGGGGAGGGGGGTGTCGATGCTGTATCAGTAGCGAAAAATTGGCAAAGCATAGCGACATGGCCCGCTTTCGGGGTCCGCGCGGACGAGGGGTAGGGGGAATCAACAGCTCGCCGCAAAAACTGTGACAAATAACGAACGGTCGTAAAATCATCCCAGTTCAGGCGTTCGCTCCCTCGCCGAGAAGTAACTTTTTGAAGCGTTGTTACATCATCCGACGTGTAACGCCGCGTTACCATAGGTAGCGCGCAACGCTAGATTCGCTGCGCGACTGTGTGCGATGATTTTAAAACTCCCTCGGGTACCTTTATGAACGAGTGCCTGTATACGGGAGAGTATTACCATCTCTGTGCCGCTCTCTGATTGGTTCATCAGTTTCAGGCTATCATTGAGCTCCAAAGTTGGCCCAATATAAACAAACCCGACCCAGAGGAACACGTATTATCGGCTGAGAAATGAATGATAATCACAAAGCTTATTTACTGCAAAAATATTCATCAAAGTTCGATCCGAACTCAATTCAGAAGTTGGATATAAAAAAATGTCTAACACACCCAAAATCACGCCTAGAACTTTGTAGAACTTTTCCGCCATCTTTTTGGTTTACATTGGTCCAAAGTAGGAGCGGAGGGGCTGGTGTTTGTTTACATTGGTCCAACTTTGGGGCTCATGATAGCCGACCAATCAGAGAGCGGCGCACTTTTTCTGTAGTGAAAGGATTGAGATAGCAATTCTCTCCCGTACACAGGTGCTCTACAGAGTAAGGTCATTGTGGGATCCATTCGCGGTTGGTTCAGCCAAGACGATTTATACGTCGTCGATGTGTGAAGCTAGAGTACCTATATTGAGAGAGTATGGCCACTGGGGTTACCACCTCTGATTGGCTCAGCCATCTTAGGCTGAATGAAGCCCTTAGGACCCAAAAATGGCGGACGCCATAAAGTTAATGTAATGCAAAATGATTCAAAATGTAGTTGTCTTTGCTTATCGTAACGAGAACTTTACCCAAATGCACTATTGCGACTTTTTTACATATTTTTAAGGCTAATCGTGTGCAATTTTTGAGAAAAATGATCTTAGATGTAGTAAGGTTGGCAGCAAGTGCGGTTGGTGATAACCGTCAAAAGTTGGCAATGACCCCCCTCCCATCCTCAAAAACCAAAACAAAGCACCGCCATTTTTGGGTCCTAAGCCTCTCCATGGGACCCAGTGACCATACTCTCTTAATATAGGTACTCAATGTGAAGCGATTGAATCAGATCGCGCGGTCAAGTTCGCGTCGCGCGCGGTTTGTGGAACCGCGGCTTAAGACGCGGTCGCGTATGGACAAGGCGAGATCGCCAGCTAGGCTAGGTCAAAAGACACGGCCTGATAAGGGCTAGGCGCGTTCATCTATCGATGGGATCAGTCAACGCGCAAATACAAAGCGAAGGAAAAAAACTGCGGTAAAAATACTGAACGGAATACTGAACAAGTCCGCAATTTCTGAAACGCGAAAAAAGCTGTTTCGTGAAAACTTTTTTTTTTTTTCTTTTACATTTTCTGATGGTTGATTTACACTGGTCAAAGACAGCTTCGTGGTTAGAAGACGCGAGTTCAGGGCATTATTTGACATTTTTACCCTTAAAAGAAGATTGTCGGAGATTCCGAGGAATTTTCTTCTACATCCAATTAAACTCCCATGATATTAATAAATATGTTTCATTATGGACCCTTCGTCAAAAATGTCTCGGTATGCGCGACACATCAGTAGCGTCATTTGTGTAGGGCAGTTCTCCATCCCTGAAGGCTGAGAAATTTTACACTCGTGGAAAAAATTTAGTCAGTTTCAGAGTTTTTCCCCCAACATTTTCTAAAATTTTAACCTTCTTCTTTCAACCAAATTTTAATTTCTTCGAGATTAGTTTAAAATGTTACGCCTGTCATCGATTGATTTTTTTGCGAGCTATACAGAAAATGATGGCGATTGAATCTTTACTCCTAGCCATACTCCGAAACGGCACGGATAAAGCGTAGATGTCTGTAGAAACCATACGATTGACTCCAAATAAATGTAGCATGCGGTGGGATAGTTTTTCGGGGCCACCGTAAATTAAAGTAAATCTGTTTAAAACAGTCAGTACTTTCTCTCTGTTGTTTAATTTTGCAGTTCGCGGTTTTCATTGATACGAAGAGTTCAGCGCATGAGCAAGGTGAGTAATACTCTTTAGAAAAACTAAATCATTGGTTGTTTCAAGTAGATCAAGTCTCCGGGCATAGCACGTAAAGTGTGGAATACGCCAAAACGCTAAGTATAAATTTTCAAATTCGAACGTTCTTTTTACAAAGAGCGTTCGAACTTCGTAAAGAATTTATTTTTAAGGGGAGTTATTGATATTTTTTCTTGAAATGTTCATGCTTTATATTAAGTTCGGCATGAGATTCTTAGAAAAATTGAAAGTAAATATTTGCAAGTGTTCCTGAAAATTTGTAATTATCCAAGAAAATTTGGCAACGTTTGAAGGCTCGAACGACGTTCTATCATAGCACGACAGTCCTACAGTGACGAATACTACATATTATTTTCAGCGGCTTCGCCCCAAGTCTCGATGTTCTTCAATATTTTCCCGCCAAAAGGAAATCCGCGTTGTTCCCCTCTCTCGACATGCCACCAGCCACAGCTGTGCTTTTCGTCACCACTGTGCCACAAAGGCTCCCGTATAAAAAAAAAGCATGTTCAAAGGGGGTTGAAATTCCCTAAAATTAGAGGGACGAACATGAATATAGCTCTAGAAATCAAAACTTTCCAGGGAAACTTATCGTTGGATGGAGAAACATTCAAACACGCTCAAGTGCCACTGGTTCTTCAGGATCGAGAGAATTGAGAAAATAATGGACAAATCAGAATGAAGAAAAAAAGTCTGCTGAATTTTATCTTTCCTATTGTCTAAAAAAAAACGTGGGGGTGATTAAGGATAAAAACTTAAGAGAGACAAAGGAGTGTTCAGAAAAAAGCTATTCTAACACTTGGAAAAAGCCGCCGGAAAACTTTCGGCAAGTCCAATTTTCGCACGTCACTCTTCCGGAAGTTTTTTTTTCTACGTACCATTAACGACCAGGGCAATCAGCGTGTGGATCTAATTGTAACTGGGGATTTTCTTATCCCAAAGAATTTCCGGCTAAAATCTACTTTTCCGGGATAGAAAAAACACAAACATGCACATATCCACGGTAATCAATCTTTGAAGAGCCACAGGGAACACTCCCGGGAATTCCCGTTCTAATGCCCGGATTTCAATTTTCCTGAGAAAATTCGATCCCTTCGCACGTGATACAAGCCGGCCGGGGAGGAGATGATGAAGTGGTGGAAGGGAAGAAATCCCCTTTCTCATCACCATTCGCGTTCCCGACATTTGACTTTCCCGGAAAACTCTGATCCCTACGCACTTAAAGATGGTGGTGACGGGAGAGGGATTGTAATTTCTTAACATTTTCGTTCCTCCTCAAGATACTTGACTTTCCTTGGAGATTTAATTCCCTACACATGTGACGGAAGCCGGGAGAGGCGACGAGAGGGTGAGGGGTTGGGAATTCTCGTTTTCCTTACAGATACTTAACATTCCCGGGAAACTCTGATCCCTACACACGTGAAAAGCGGGGAGGGTTGGGTGAAGGGTTGAAAAGATGCTCATCATTACTTTCTACTCTCTGAGCCGATAAATTTTCATTTTTCGTCACAGTCCGCTCTGAACTTCGGTTGGCCGATTTTCATGATTTTTGCGGATAGCAACAGGTGACAGTTTTTTGACAAGCCCGTTTTATTCATATTTCGAAAATATGACCAGAGCTATCCAATATTACGTGATAAAGTTGTGAATTTTCCCATTTGAACAATGGAAATCTTCATTTTTTATCATAATTTGTTCTACCGAGCCGACATTCACGCTTTTTGCGACTATCGACAGGAGATAGTCTTCAGCAGAGCAGGCTCTATTTAGACGAACTCACGGCAGCCCGCCAAGCAGCCCTTAGAGAGCGCGAAGCGTCCTCCAGATGTTCGGCTGCGTAGCGGCCAGGAGGCGTACCCCCTAGTAATTCCCTAAAACGCTCTGTTCTATGAACGATACTTGACTTCCTGGGGAAACTCTGATCCCTGCACACGTGGCATGAGCCGCGGGGGGGAGGGGGGGAGGGGGCGAAGGTTTGGGGTGCGCACGTGATCGAGGGAGCCGGTACGGGCGGGAGGGGGTTGGAGGGATGGTAAAAGAAGAAGCTTACCTTGGGGTCCTTCTCGTGGTAATACTGCTGGGTTCGGATCCATCTGGAGACGAGGTTGTCGCGGACGCTGTAGGCGAGGGCGAAGTAGTAGTCCCTGGGGGTGGCGACGTTGCGGTCCTTGACGAGGGTGTAGTGGAGGTGCCGGTTGAAGGTCGTCTTGGCCGACTGGACGTTCTCGACGCCGGCGATGCCGCGGACACTGATCTGCTTCCTCTTCTCGAAATCCGACTGGAGGGACGACATTTTCCTCGACGACGACGGACACTGACAGACGAGACGGACGAAGGAGGACGAAACTCAACGAGGACAAGCGCGGACCGTGAGATGCTGCCGCGCGCGGAGGTGACGGCTGTGTGCTCGGCCACTCCGCGCGCCCCGAGGGTTCACCTTCCGCAAGGTCGCCACCGCGCATGCGCCTCGATCCCCGCGTTAAAATTAAATCCCGCCGATTCCGACGAGGAGTCGAGAGAATGGAAATACATCCCGCTCCATTCACCAAGGAGTTGCTTCCATGATTTCGGCTAGAGTGGGGAACCTTTATCGTGAGGAAGTAGCGACTCGAGGATCGATTGGATTACTTTTTTGCAATAAAGAGTCACTATCTGGACCGCGTTAAACAGAAAAGAACCAAGCCACATCAGCTATGGCCAAATTTGATTGGGCACTTTAATTTTTTACGAGTAAGCGGTTTTGCGGATTTTTGTGCAAATTTCAGTGGGTTTTCTCCATAGTACGAAGCAAATTCCCTACAATTTTCAAAAGAATCCGCACAAACATTCTCTAAAAAAAAAAAAATTAACTTGTCCAGTTAACTTTGGCAATAGCTGATGTGGCTTGGTTCCTTTCTGTTAAACGCGGTCCATTTCTGGCTCATTTCAGAAACAACATATGAGGGGCTTGGAGAACAAGGCGCACAAGTGCAGTTTTCGAAAAAATTGAGATGTTAATGATTTTAAATAAAACTGGTCTTAATACATATTCTGTTCAAAATTCGCTCCCAAAATCCAATTTTTAAGCATCAAAAATTTGGTTTAAACTCTATTTCGCTGCCGTAAAGATCCATGTAATTTCGAAACTTCGAACACGAATTTCTCGAAAGAGCAAAAACTGCACTTATGCGCCCAAGCCCCTCATATGTGCTACTGGTTTCCCTATGCAGAAAGGTGCTTTAATGGGTGAAGCAGAGAGAGTGGTTCCTTATTGCAAAATGTAATCGGCTTAGGGGCCGCACTTTCACACCGAAATGCAGCATACTTCGATGAGTTGGACTACATTTTGCAGTTAGGAACTATAATTTTTGGCTCAGTTTAAAAACAACGTATGTAACATTAGTTTACCTACGCACATGAGTGTTTTTACGGATGGGCCAGCCAGAAATTATAGTTCCTGCTTGCAAAATGCAGTCCAGCTGAAACTGGATCGCCGATGAATCAGGGGCGAATTTCATCGGGAAAAAAGGCGTAGATCAGGGTTTTTTTTTTCGATCAGTGACAATTTGCCAAAGGTTTTTGTAGTTTTCAACTTTAATTATTACTGCAGAACCAGTAAAGACTAGCTTTGCAGTGATATCAATTTCACTTGCAAACTTCTTTGACAATCAATATTATAATTTAAACTACGGGGCTACATAAAAGGGAGCTTCAAAATGAATGCATCTGCGCAGTGGCTGGTAAGTTTGTTGCCTATCTGGGTATATTGAAGGTGAACTTCAGATATACGACATCTCCGAGCAGGTCCACAAATCGTGTATTGGTTCGATCAGAGCATGGAGGGAGATTACTTTTTTTGTTTGTTTTGAGGATTTATCCATTCCGGTATGCCAGTTTCCTACACGGCGAAGCCCAGAAACTTCAAAATGTTTATGGACGGTAACAATGACTAAATTTCAAAATCGCCTATTCGTTTACTTGATGTGTGGGGTACGATAAATGTCAATTTTTCGAATCTTATTCTATAATGTAAAATCATCAGAATAACGCATAAAGCCCGGTTGTCGAAGCGCTTCGGGGGTTGGACCGCGACTCGCTCAGAGGGCGCACCTTCTAGTAGATAATAATCATACCTGCTTCCCGATTGAAATTTTGGGACAGAAATTTGGAATCTTGGGATGATTTTATCATTTTTACATGACTATACCCACACTCAGTTGGATTGAGAGAAGTTTAAGAGGGACTTATAAAACATAGTATTAGAAATTGACTTCCGCCATGATGGTCTGAAGAATTGTAAAAGAAACTCACACAAATCTATTAGCTGCATAAAATCTACTGACTTAAAAAACGAACGTCGTATAAATCTTAAGATTTTCCCAGGTCATTGCAAAACTTTACCCAAGCTTTAATCAAAAGTTCCTGAAATTTTAAGGAAAAAATAATATTCAAAAGGACCTTTTCTACAAAAAAAATATTTTATCTGGAAAGAAATTTGGCAACGTTTTAATACTCGTATATGGCGTTTCTCCTTACCACAACAGTACTTGTTTCCCCGGTTACAAAATTACGACTCAAATAAATGAATGGAGGGAAAACTTTCTACTCGATATAATGTTTTCTTTTTGTTATTTTGAATGTGAAATAACAGGAGTTCTTTACAGTTTAATTACACTGAAGTGTTGAAAAAAATTCTCCCCTAACCCTCAAACATTGTGATCGGTGATTTCCAACATGAACAACAATAAGAAACGGACGAAAGAAAAGAAGGAAAAGCAAAGAAGTCATTCTCGAAGGTACTTCATTTCATTTTCATTTTTGACGTATGGGAGACACTTAATTATTCGGACGCATAACTTCGGTACCTAGGAAACGCAACGACCTTTCCTCCAGCTCCAGCGCGTACAAGTAACAATACTTTTTTTTTTTTACACCACAGTTGCGATGTGTTACCCCGTCAATTAGGTAAAAATGAATGTGAACTTAAAGCTTGATAAAACAAAAAAGTCCCTATGCATGAGTCCAAGAAAGCAACAAGAAAGTCGTTTTTACCGGAGGAATAGAATTTTAGGCAGCACGCATTGAATTTGACACTTGTTCTTTTTAGAAATCACGAAAGTGCGGGTAAGAAAACACATATATCGATTCATGACATTTCTGCTTTCTTGTCAAATGCTCTTTTGCTTCAAAAGTAGACCAATGCACATTAATTCTTGGACTTATTAACTCTTTTACCCCCTTTATTCTGCTGAGATCAAGAACACAAGGTGAATATTATTTACTAGGTGAAAATTTCAAACGAAAAGATTCGTATAAAAGAGATATTTTGAAACGTCACGATGGAGGTATTTAACTTGACTTTCCCATTTGATCATGTTCTTAATTCTTCGATTCCTCAATCGTCGGCTAGACGCGACTGCATAAATACAGCGTCAGGCGCTTGGATGCAACTATTCGAGCTCAAAGGTTAGCGACGTTGCATATACAAGTAATTGAAGGCACTTCGGGAGTATTTCCCCTCAGGAGTTGTTTTTGTGACATTTTGTCGTAGGCAAAACGTTAAATCTATGAACACAAAGCAAACATTAATTGCAGAAACCTAGGAAGAACAAAACAGAGTACCTAGAGGAGTGCTATAAAGCCTGCGATCGAATAGTTTCTTGGGTGCATTTATTGCCGCAAGTATATTTGAAGGGAAGTCAGAATTGACGGTCACTTTATTTACACGACTTAAAGCCGGTAATTTAATTATGCAAAAACAGTTTCTGGAGGCAGACCTGAGCATGATTAGTGAACGATTTTTTTTATATCTTATGATTGATACTTCGTTTTAGAACTATGTTGCCTTGATTGTAAAAATTTTTTGATTTTTTTCGGTTTTTGACCTAAGACTTTCCTGACTTTTCTCTGACTTCCAAAGGATGTTGTGCAAATTCTTTCTATGGGGGCAAATCTAGGGCAAAGTTCCGGATCTTCAGAAACAGCGCATGGGAGTAATGGCGGCAATGGGATCCATTCTAAAGTTTCGATTTAAGAAAAAATTGAGACTTCTTTCCAGAATGTGTAAATTAATCAAATATACTGCCTTCCTGGGTATGATCTGAATTTTTAAGAATTTCCACCCACATAAAGAACTAATTTGTTGAGCCGATCTACATGTCACTCTTACAACACTAATTAATTATTTTTCGTTCTTTCATCCGCGGGTATTTTCCTAAGGGTCGGACCACACATTTACGTTTTTAAATTTGGAAAGCATCTTTTCTTCCAACCTGCTCTTCCGAGGCTATGCAAATGCACGCAAAAGGCAAATGCATCATGGTGCTGCATCTTGCATTTTACGTATTCGAGCCTTGAACTTTCAGTTCATCGCGACGAGTAAGATATAAGTTTTACGCAATGCTCACAATCATTCATTCGACAATTCTTTCCAGATCGGCTTATCAGGAAAAATCGTCATTTATTTTTAGAGGATTGCGCAAAGAAGGCCAAAGTTGCCAGTTCGCGAACGATTTCCCGAGTTTTCCCGGAAGAACCTCAACAATAATCGATGGTTTTTCTACGTAAGTGGCAATGATAGATAGAGTGCGCTCGGTGCAAAATCATTACGCGTTAGCTTGGTCAGTGTTCGTCACTGCACCATGACCCCTGCTGCCTAAAGTTTTACGTTAAATCTTATGCTTATCTCACGCTACCAACGATAAAAAAACCAAAAAAAAACAAAAGAAAAGCCTCGAAAAAATGCGTGAGAATTTATGACTGTGACGTACGTCCGATTCAGTCAAAATTGAATTACTACCGGTTCTTTTTGGTGTATAGGAGCGAGGATGGGGGACGGGGACGCCATAGGAACACTAGACAGGGTACAAAATTATGCATCGTAATGTGTATTACTTTGACTAAATATAACGCACAAAACGGGGGACGGATTGAAACTTTCCAAATTCACAAACTGATTACGGTGGACGCACGGGTCGTAAGACGAGATGTTGGAGTTTTCGAACCAACGTGCGTTAGAGATTCAGCTTAAAGCTGATAAGCTGATATCTCAAAACAGAGGGAGAAAGCTCAGACACAAGCACAATTTTCCCCCAAAGAGATACGCTGTTTGGTGCAACACTAGTAACAACCACTCGGCTGAATTTAAGCTGAATTCCTAACGCACGTTGGCTAAAAAAACTCCAACATCCCGTTTCCAAATTAAATTCAGAAATGAGGAGATAGCGTTTTGTTTCTGTGGGTCGATTCAAATTTTCCATTTACAAAAAACAGAGTCTGTGCTCGAGTCAACTTGAACACTGCACTCATTTTGGTATACTTTGCGATAGAGGAATTTATCTGTATGCTAATTTTTTAGAATAACAGAGGCATATGCCTTCACCTCCCTGAACAATTTTATAAAAAAGTGAAAAAGACCTTTTTTCGAAATCATCGAAA